TAGGAAGGGGGGCAGAGTCTGGGGGAGCCGCAAGCACCACCGACGGGGAAGACAGATCCTAGGCTTCCACGCAACCCCAGCAATCCTCTGCCCTCCCCACACCCGGCCCCCTCCATGCACCCCTCCCCTCCAGGCACAGCCCTGCCCAGGGCTGGAAAGGGGTGAGGGAGATGAGGGATAATTGTAGCCTCCAAATGTCTGTGTAAGTAAAGTGAAATGGGGGGGGGGCTCCCAAATGCTTCTCAACAGCCATGTTTTCCCCACCCTTCAATGTTGGATGTGAAAGCCTGGTGGCCATCTTGTGCAGCCCCTGACCCCTCCACTGACGGTCTCTCTCTCTCCCTTTGACCCCAGGAGGAAGAGCCTCGGGGCTGATGGAGGAGCTGCGCCCCCGTTGGCAGTGTCCCTGAGCCCTGTAGCTGGGAGATGACGCGGCGGGTTGGGCTGCATAGCCCCTCGCACCCAGAGCTGCTGCTGCACCGGGCCAGTGAGCTGACCGAGGCCCTGTAGCCGGGAGATGCCGGGGCGGGTTGGGCTGCATAGCCCCTCGCACCCAGAGCTGCTGCTGCACCGGGCCAGTGAGCTGAGGGGTGCCCAGGCCCTGTGTGACACACTGGTGCGTGTGGGCCAGCAGGACTTCCCAGCCCACAGCTTGGTGCTGGCCAGTGCCAGCCGCACCCTGGCCCGGCTCCTCCTGCCACAGGGCCCCAGCAAGCTCTGCAGCCTGGACTTCCTCACACCCACCACCTTCCAGCACGCCTTGGACTTCGCCTATTCCGGCCGAGGAGCTTGCCAGTCTCCTGGCCACTGCCCGGGTCCTGGAGATGGAGGAGCTGGAGCAGGCATGTCTCAGGGTGCTGGGAACTGGAGGTCACGATGGGACAGGTGTTGGCAACAGGGCTGGTGGCCATGGTGTGGTTGCCACTGGTGACAAGGCTGGTGGCCATGATGGGGCTGTCATCGGTGACAGGGCTGGTGGCCATGATGCAGTTACCATTGGTGACAGAGCTGGTGGCCATGATGGGGTTGTCATTGGTGACAGAGCTGATGACCATGACAGGGTTGCCATTGGTGACGGAACTGGCAGTCATGACGGGGTTGCCATCGGCGATAGAGCTGATGGCCATGATGGGGCTGCAGGCCATGATGGGGTGGGTGACCAAGACTCAAGGAAGGAGACAGTGGATGGGATGCCCCAGATGCAGTCTTTGGTCACCAGCCCTGTTGGCGAGACTGTAGTGCCAGGCAATCAGGAGCTAGTTTTATTGGCTGATGGGCCCTGCCTTGGCCTGGCTAGGCCAGACAGCCAGGGGAGCCTACTCCAAGATGGCGGCTTGGCACCCAGCTGGGTTCTGTTTGAACAATACTCCCACAAACCGCGGGGAAGCGTCATTGCAGCCACAGCCCGGCCTCTACCTCAGGAACGCTGCGCCCATCCCTGGCCACCGGAGGCGCTCTGGGGGCCAGATGGGGTGGTCACTGGCTACCAGCCCTGCCCACCATTGCTCAGCTACCAGCTGCGGACACTGCCTTCCCCCTTGGGTGACCTGGGGCCTGGGCACATGGCCCTTTCGGCGTCGGTGGGATTCCATGGCTACGTCCGACCCGTCCCCTGCAGGCTGGAAACGGGGAAGCCAGGCACCCCCGCTGGGATGGGGGGCAGGGAGAAGCAACTGGACAACCAGAGGTGAGCAGCACGGGGTGTGGGAAAGAAGCCGTGAGTGACGGGAGGGGCAGGACTCCTTGTTCTATCCCTAGGAGGGGAGTGGGGTGTGGTGCGTTAGAGCAGGGGGGTTGGGGGGATGCTTCATGGCCATGAGGCTGCTGCCATCCTCCCCCCCCAACCCCAGCAGCTCTGGGACATGCTGACTCTTGGCTGCGGGCCTGGCTACATGGGAAGGGGCAGCATGGCTTGTTTCCTGCCTGGTGTCCTCAGGGCACCCTCCACCTGAAAGCAGGCGCAGTGGGTGCTACTGCAGCTCAGAGCGGGGCAGGCAGGGGCCAGCCATACCTGCACCTCCCCACACACCTGAGCTTTTGCAGTCGTGGTGAGAGGCCCCTCACCCCCAGCGCCAGGCCAGCTAGATCAAACTGGGGGAGGGGCACTGCAGTGGGGGATGCCCTGGTATGGGAAGCACTGCCTGGGGGGGGCCCTCCCAAGTACCCCAGCCCCGGCCTGGCGCTGTAGGGGGAATTCCCCTGATCTCTCTGGTTTGCACTTGTGCGAGTCACGGCTCAGGGCCCCCTGCTCCCCCAGTGATGAAGAAACTCTGAGCCCTGCGAGCAGCAGTGCCCCGAGATGAAACGGGCTCCACGGGAGGGGGTGGGCGGATGACTCGTCCATGGGGTTTCCCCCAGCCAGCCCCGCACCCACATGCCTGACTTCAAAGGGACCAGTTGTTCCTAGATGACACATTCTCCCCCTCCCCCCAAGCCCTTAACATTTTCCTTCAGAGCAAATCACCTTAGTTTGGAGGCTGGGGAAGGAAAGAGTTATTGGGGGCTGTAGGGGTGTAGCTGGAAGGACAGGGAGCTATAGGGCTTAGGGGGTTAGGGGTGTATCCCTAAACCCTGAGCCCACCTGGCAGGTGTAGCATTGGGTTGGGGCAGGGGGATCTGAAGTGTAGGAGACAGGGGGATCTGTAGAAGGGATCTGGCTGTAGGAATGGATCGGGAAGAAGGGGGCAGGCATACAGGGTTCAAGGGTGGATGGGGGCAAGGGGATATAGGGTGTAGGGCTGGATTGGGGCCGGAGGATCTGGGGTGTCAGGGTGGATTAGGGACTGGGGGGATATAGGATCCGGGCAAGGGGATATGGGGTATAGATGTGGGGGTCTCTAGCTTAGGTATGCAAGGGAGCAGGGGGATCTTGGATGTTGGGGTGAATTAGGGGGTGAGGGATCTAGGGTGTAGGGGTGGATTAGGGGGCAGGGCATATCTGGGGTGTAGGGGTGGATTAGGGGGTGGGGATATCTGGGATGTAGCAGTGGATTGGGGTGGTGGGATCTGGGATGTTGGGGTGGATCCAGACAGGGGATCTGGGGTGTAGATGTGGGGTCTGTAGCATAGGTGTGCAAGGGAGCAGGGGGATTTGGGGTGTGGGGTGGATCTGGGGTTACCTACAGGCAGCTGGATATTGGGCAGCCCCAGTTCTCAACATCTCACAGCCATAAGCTGTAAGGTCAGAAGGGCCCCTCCTGAGCATGCTCTGCCCTCCCACCCCCCGACCAGACCCACCAGCTTGGGCTGAGCAGCTGTCACCTCCAGATCCTGGTTAGAAGGCGAGAAGTTTCCCCCCTTGTAGGGAGCTGGGGGCCAGGGATCGCTCAGTGTCTCTTTCCTGTTCCCAGCCATGGGGCAGGAGCATACATTACACACAGATTACTGTCTGCCCTTCCTCCGCCCAGCCATGCCCCGGCCCCTCACCGTGGGGCCAGCCCCCTCACTCCTTGCCCTGCACAGCGCCTGGCCCACACCCTCATCCAAAGGGAGGCCTGTTTTCTGAGCTGCCTTCCAGCCTTCCATTGGGCAGATCTTCCTCTGATGAGGCAGTTATTGAGCTGGGCCTGGTGGCATGCGCAGACTGCAGCCCAGTCGCCCCTCAACCTGCCCTGTGGCCAGCGAAATCCATCCTATGCCTGGAGTCTCCTCTGGGGACTCACGCTTCGGGCTCCGCTCTGACCTCTCTCCAACTTACCCCCACAGCCCTTGTGGAAGCTGTGCCCGGACTGGCCGCACAGGATCTCTGTACTCACTCCAGGGCCAAGCAGAGACGTGCTGTCCACCTTCTCCACCTTCCCCTGTTTATACACGCCAGGGTTGCCCCAGCTCTTTGGGCCCCAGTGTCGCACGAGAAGCTCGTGGGCAGCTGATTCTCTGCCATGACCCCTAAGTCCTTTTTGGCGCTGCGTGGTCCCAGGAGGACACTGACATTTAGCTGTATTTAAGTTTACCAAGCCTCTGAATCTGTGACATGCCTTCTGTGGCATTTCCCACTCTTCCAGCTTGTGCCTCGTCAGACGCTTTATCAGGGACTAGTTTATGTTTTCCTCCAGGTCATCACTAAAAAGGTCAAACTGCGCAGGGCCCAAAAGCATTCAGGGTTCTCTTCTGTTCCCAAAATACGTTATAACTCCTGCTCATTGCCCTTCTCTCTGCTGACCACGGGTCACTCCTGCTATCCTTTTGGTTCCCTTATCCAGGTTCTACAATTGCAAGTTTCACACTGATAGTCATTGCTCTCTGCTCCCCTCTTCTCTCATTTCTTATACATCCCCTTGCTGTGTTTTAGGGCCACTTGCTCTCCTCTTCTAAGCCAGTTTCAGAACCAGCGTGGCTGTGCTCCAGTCTGGCTCTCTTGGCACCCAGATAAGTGTTCTCAAGCAATTCCTAAGGGTTGCTCACATTTTTTTGCTGAGCCTGTCTCCCAGCTAAGGTTTGTTGGTACATGGAGCCCTCTAGTGCCCAAGCTGGGGATGGGCACCACATTGCACAGTCTCAATATTCTAGTCATCTGAACAAGTGGGTTGAACCCACAAAAGCTCATGATCTCATCTACAGTACATGTTTTGTTGGTCTTTAAGGTGCTGCAAGACTATTTGTTGTTCTTTAAGTTTTTCCAGTTACAGACTAACTCGGCTCCCCCTCTAAGCCTCCCTTCAAGGCAGCCATGCCTAGGGGAAGCTGAGGAACGTACCTGGGACGTGAAAAGGTTACAAAAATCGCCACATCGTCACAGGGGGATGCTCCCCACATCTCTTCTGCTGTGCAGTGCCCTCGGCTCAGCAGCCCCCAAGGGCTCAACTGCCATAGTGCTGCACATCCAGCAGACACACATGGGGCCTGCTCCAGCTATCTGCACCTACCAAAACCAGTTGCAGCCACAGCTCTAGAGTGCCAGGAAAAGAAGGATGTAGAGGGCCAGGCTGCAGGCTGGCTGGGTGTGGTGCAGAACATGGGCAAGGGGTTCTAGATCATGCAGGAACAGCATAGTTGCATCCTGTAGCACCATACAAATTGAGAGGGTTCTAGAGGCAGATTTGGATGTGACTTGGTTCTAGATTACACCAGCACATCACTTTCCCATTCTGGAGCAGAAGTCATGGCTGGGTGGGTTCTAGAACTACTCCAATCAGATGTGGTGAGGTTCTAGAGTGCCCCTCAGCGCTACTAACGGATGGGTTCTCACATGGGCTGCATGGGGGTTTGCCATGTGCTAAAGTGACATGTGCAGCCAGATTCTAGAAGCTTTCTGCACTCGAGAGGTGCCTGGGTTCTAGAGTGGCATGTGCTGGACACAGCCAGGTTTTGTGGCATGTGATGGGGGAAGCTGGGTTCCAGATTATTTGATGGGAGCTGACAGGTTCTAGGAGGAGGACCAGCAGGCTGAACTATGGGGGTGTCACAGCTCACAGGTCGTGGCCACACTTAGCCCCTTGGCGGGACCCCCCTCTTCAGTGCAGCAGCCTCTTCTCAAGGCACCCACGCCAGTCCAGCAGCCCTCTCTTGGGGGGCCCGACCCTCCACCTCCAGGATGGTGCTTCTCAGGGCCTTCAGCCGCCTGCCTCCGCCGTGAGCCCCTTCAGGGGTCCCGTCCCTCTGGACCCCCAGGGCCTGCACTCCCAGAGGGAATAGCGCCCCCCTGTTCTCGAGACCAGAGAGTCCTGCCTGCTCTGCCCTCAGTTCCCCAGAAAACAGCCCCCGGCTCCCAGCAGAGCCTCCAACATCCTCTTGGGGGATCCACTCCCTCTGGACCCCGGGGCCTCCACTCCCAGGTGGAACGGTGCCCCCCTGTTCTCCAGACCAGAGCAACTGGCAGCCAGCACCAAACAGGAGGGTTTATTGAACTTCGAACACAGGCAGCAAAGAATCACTCAGGCCGGTCAGCCTGGCCCCTCAGCCTCACGTCAGTCTCTCCTGCAGCCAGAGAGTCCTGCCTGCTCTGCCCTCAGTTCCCCAGAAAACAGCCCCCGGCTCCCAGCAGAGCCTCCAACATCCTCAGCAACAGCCCCTCCCCCATCCATTGTCTTCTCCCCAGGTAACAGGGTCACCTGGCCCCTCTTCTCCGCCTCCCTCCTCCATCCAGTGTTCTCCCCTCGCTGGGGGTCAGCTGGGCCAGCTGCCAGGTTCCCTCTCTGCAGCCCATTGTCTGTCCTCTAAGCGGGGCTGGGGGCACCAGGGTCCCAGACACCCCGGCTCTGAAACAGCAAACTCCCCCCCTTTCTCACGTCAAACCAGTAACTGCTGGGCACTGAGTGCCCCTAAACCATGGGGGCTGCTGGATGGGGGCACAGGCCAACCAGTTCTGGGGCCAGGGCAGGATGTGCAGTCAGGTTTCCATCTGGTGCTCAGCTCCCTCCCC